GTCCCCCCCCCCCAACTTCCTCTTAAAATTTGAACAAAATAACGCCCCAGTTTGAAAAGGAATTATCCATATTAACATTTAATAGATTTATACTAATAACGCCATTCGACCCCCCCCCCTTCCATTCAATCCATCGAAGCCATTCGTCCACCAGCGTTCGTATCAGTCATATTGCCGCTACTCATGAGTCACGAACCGAGACCGATCATCAGAGATTTCAGAGGTATTGTTTCAGAGTGTTTTTGAAGTAAAAGATGAGCATTGGCGGATCCAGCAAATTGGCAACATTGCCTTTTCTCCATTTAAACCTATGGAAATGTATCGATTCTTGGAGGGGCCAGGTGCTCGGACAAGAATCGATTATTCAGCATAAGTTTAAATGGAGCAAACCCTGTGTTGCCAAATTGCTGAGTCCGCCTCTGAAGATGAGCGATTTGTCTCATGTTTGTTTTTTATGAGACCCTGTACATACCTAGTAATGATAAATTCGATAATTCGCCATAATTCGTTCCGGAATGCGACGAGGAAAAAGTTTAAATTTTAAAGTGAGACGAGGTAAGCCAGAGTCGCGGTATACTGCCTACTTTAAAGCGGCGAAGGACATTTTAAGCCAATTCACTTCAGCCTAAATGGACCGCGTTAAGCAGAAAGGAACCAAGCCACATCAGCCATTGCCGAATTTCACCGAACAATCTATTCTTTTACAGGAGAACGATTTTGGGAATTCGCCTCACGTCACAGAGAAAATCCCCCGAAATTTTCAAAAGAATCTAAATTACTTACTACCGTTCTCCAGTAAGTAAATGAATCAGTCAACACAATTTGGCAATGGCTGATGGGACTTGATTCCTCTCTGCTTATTGCTGACCCAATAAGGCTCCTTTTTCCGCCCAACCTTTACGACTTATTCTCGGACGAATTGTCTTGACTTTTCCTTTATGTCTAGCTGTCAGACTCAGAACCTAATTAATTGAAGACGAACCGTTTATCGAGATTTAAGGCCAAGGCCTCCCTTTTTTACGATATGATAGGGCTTACGAGGTGGATCCTCAGGAGGCGGCTGCCCTTAAGGTTTAGATGTTCATTTTTCCCCCGTTAAATGTGACCGCCCACAGGAGACGGAATTTTCAGCTGAACTATTTTCGTTGAGTGGAAGGTCGAAAATTTTGATTATTTAAAAGTTATTCGAGCATGCTCCATGATTTTTGTAGTCGCATGTTTTAAAAGTAGAGAGTGCCCTTACAATTAGTTCATCGTACTTTTTCCAGATTTTTTAAAAATGGGGTTTCAAAATTGCGCATTTTGAACTCCCTTTCAAACTCACATCGTCGAAAAAACCAAGATGGCATCCGAAAATATCCCTTTCGTGAGAGGTTACGTGCAATCGAGGTCATAACCGCATCGAGAGGGATATTTCCGGATGCAATCTTGGCTTTTTCAGCGATGTGCGCTCAAAGTACGCAAATCTGAACTAGTGTCTCGTAGGTTGCTATCGTTTCAAAACAATCTGGAAAAATTCATGTGGAAAATATGTAAGGGCACCGTGCACTTTTCAAAAATACAATAGTTAAAAATTAGTAAACAAAATCAAATGGGCAAGAAAATCTTGAGGGGAAGGCTGCATCTCTTTTCCCACCTTCATTGCAGTGCGTACAGAGATCCAAAATTTCTTATTAAAAAAACTTTATAAATGAATGACAATTTTTAAAAATCCCGTAACACACTCAGTATACTATAATACGCCTAAAAACAGTCAAATCTCAATTTAGAAATGTTGGGGGGAAGGACTCATCCGTCTAATTTCGAATTTTTGTATCGTATTCTTGGATAATTGTTTCTGGTTGCATACGCACTACGCAGCCTCTTAAAAATCGTTTAAATTTCACTTGTCGACAATTTCATGAAATTTCATTTTGCATCTCTGAGTGTGCAGTTGCTATGTTTGCAGATGCACCACATTGCCTACTGCTTGGCTACCCACCGATACCTATTTTCCTTCTTGCAATTAGCTATTGTAATCAGCGTTGTGCATATTTTGTGAAAGCAACACAAACACCATCTAAAAAAAGAATCGGCTCATGCCGACTATTTACCCTGCGGGAAGAACGACAAGCGAATACATTGTGTGGGAATTTGATCCCGTGAGGCTTCATTACTTTTCCTGGCAGTTTGAATAAGCATTATATTCACATGCATTTAAATTTCTTTCTTTCTATTCTCGATGCGTTTAGTCAAGCGTATATTTTGAATATTTTAGCATCTAATTTACTTCGATTCTCTATTTCCAAAGACTTAATAGAATAAGACTGAATTAAACAGAAAGGAAACGAAGACACCATTCCCTTTAAAAATTGAGCGATTGATACCGAAGTATGCGCCAGTTCAGGCCGGACATGTCCAGCACCAAAGCGCCCAAAGTCAGGTTACCAACTCTACTAGAGGGTACTTAAATGTCACCGTAAAATACTGTAGGAAAATTTGAAGGAAATATATTTATAGCCTCAAGACGAAGATTTTACTGATTGTGAGCCAGATATTTGGCAACATTCGAAATCGTATAGGACGGTTTTCCTCAGCACTCCAGTTTTTTCTCGTGGTTTTTCTTTTGAAAATCTACGACGTTCTCCGTCGTCGGGATGGATCGTGTGCGTGCTTACGAGAAAACGAGGGTAGGACTTTCTTCAACTTCAATCTGAGTAAAAGCTAGGAGAGCGCAGTTACCTGGGGCTACGCCTCACAAAACCCTTTCCAGAATCTTTTAATTTTTTTACCCTGAAAGAAATTATGATATTGTCGCAATGCACATGATGGCGGGTGGTCGCAGGATTGGAATTTCAAATTTCTGCCAATAAAAAAGAACGTTACCGTTAATAACGAAGGAAAGACAGTAGCGACAGGTAACAATTTCCTTATTACGGTTTTTCTATTTTTTCCTCAAGTTGCGACTTTTTCATCACTCTAACGCTGCTTTTTGCCGGTTTTCATCAACTAGGTTTTCCTCCAGACTTTTCTGGGGAAGGAGCGTTCAGGCATAACGGGATTCGATCCCCATTGGCTCACGATCGGCTGTCCTAAGCCTCATAGGGCCCTCATAACCCAAAAAGTATGGACCTCCGAGGCAGATGAAAATTGAAGTCACTAAAAAAATAGTATGAGTAATGGCTCGCTGGAGAGTCGCCAAAGTTACGGATTTAACGTGCTAGGCGCTATTAATTCATTTTAAAATCCAACTTTGAGTGGTACTTTATTGACAAAAAAGAAAAAAACCTTTTTGATTAAACTTTTTTTTTTAAAAAACTTTTCAGTTTAAGGGCTGGCAACAAATACAGCAAGTCAAATCGTCAAAAGTTGGCAACGACCCTCTCCCATCTAAAAGCCGCCATTTTCGGGGCCAAATCAGCCTCCTCCAGTGGCGTGGCGTGAATGATCGACTATCGATATTTCT